CACTGCTGCTGCCACAAATAGCCGACAGAGTCCACAGTCAGTGTGTACTCTTCAAGTGCTGTATTTGTCTGTATTGGATAATACTGCATCGTCAGTGTTTCCTCACAGCATGGAGTAGGAGTAGGAAGTGCCATACATCCAATCCATAATTAATGGAGAACATTAATATTGCAGAGCATGCAGTAATGTTCACAGTGTATGTCCATATCTATTTAGGGGCTGCCATTTGCTCTTGTTATTTCACACGGCTGAGTTGAAGCACCTTTGGTAACTCCAGTTAAACCCAAGAACTAATGTAGAATTAAAGCTGTCATGGGAGACTGTCGTGTTTTCACAGTCTTTGTGTTTGTTGGTGCATCATCAGGAGAAAATCACATGTCACACACATCATGGAGTCCTGTGAGACAACGCAGCAGTGACAGACATAATGAATCTCATTCTTTGTCAAACCATTTGCATTCAAGCTGTCGGCAAGTCGCAAGTGTGTGTACGAGGAGACGGAGTGAGAGCTCCGCTGCATTGTACATTCTGCTGAGAAGGGGGGGTGGAGGGGTGGAGTCATTTATATGCAACAGTGTTGTGATCACAGACGGCACGTTTTTAAAGTGTCGCCCTCACAACCTTCAAATCTCTCTCAGCTATTCAGATTATATAGAGAGTGTGCTCTCTGGACTAATGAAGTTTTGTTCAAACACAGGTGATGGCTCATTGAGTACAGTAGTGTTGGTGGGATTAGACTGTCAAAGGTAATCACTGGTGTAGAGAGAATGGGGCAATTTCATTCTTCTCTGGACAGAGGGTTCAATTTTGATTGTGTGACACTGTAAATTACAGTATTCCATCCAAGTCACAGACTGAGGCTCCGTGTTTGGCCTTTCATTAACTGCTGCATGGAAAAAAGATACACAGATAAACAGAGTCAAAATGTTTGTGTCCTCAGAGTGCACCCAGTGGATAAATAAGAGAAGGAAATGAAACTTTTAGTAACTTTTTTTCTTCATCTAATATGTTTTGGGTTTTTTTTTAATCTATTTTTGTTTTCAAGCTTTTGACTTTTTGATTTGGGGCTAACGAGAAGAAGACACCTTTTGCTAATTCTGTGTTGATCATGTTTGGAACATTTTAGCTCTATATGTGTTCATTTTCTGGCATCTTTAGTTTGTTAGTTATCATATGGCTAATACTAGCTATTTCTTTTCTTTTTTGTTTCTAAGCATTTGTTACTTTTGTATATATATATATATATATATATATATATATATATATATATATATATATATATATATAGTGTTATACCTTTCTTGTGAATTTTTGGCAACTTATTTTTAAGCTGACTTGTTTCGACTTTTGGTAATCTTCTACTTGACACTTGGGATGAATTTTTTGGTTTGATTGTGGAAGGTCTTATGCATTTTTTTATGCCTTGAGCTAGCATGAGCCTCTTAGCATCTTGTGAGCTTTCTTGTAGCTTATATTGATACATGAGTCATGCCTCTGCATTTTTTACGGCAGTTTTTGAAGGTCAAGCATGTATATTTGAAAAACTATTCCAGTTATAAGGAATGCATTTAGCCACTAGCTTTTGCAAATTTCTGCTGTGGTGTGAGTTAGAACAGGAGCTGTTGTCCGTTTGTAAAATGTCAACAAATATCACAATTGTTGTCTCACATGGTGACCTTCAGCCTGGTAATGAGGTGCTCCAGTTCACACCCATAAGTGCTAACACACAGTTGGAATCACCATGGCAATGGTGTGGCTCAAATGGCAGCTTCTTGTCCCTCTTTCTGTTAAATGGAAGAGGCTTTAAAGGACAGTATTCACCAGAGGAATTGTTTGTGTAAAAATATCCTTGTTAGATATGTTAGGTGGTAAATTGAATTGATTGTAAAAAGGCACATTAATATGTACATGGGAGCAAATGCATGTCCATAGTTCAGTTGGTCAGTTAGTTTTGGGCGATTCAGTGACATAGCCTCACTGTGTCTGCAGATATGTGTCTTCCTCTGAATAGAACCACAATTTACCGCATCCACATCATGTTTAATTCAAAATGACCTGAAGCCTGCAATTCAGACCTGAGGTTCCACAGAGAATTCTTTACTTGCTCTATAAATCAACAGAAAAGTAGGCTTTTTGTTCCAAAAACGTTCATTCAGGTGGAGTTTCACTTTCTGGTTGCTCTCTGGTGGTTCATTGCCACTTCTGTCCTATTTTCCCGTCTACACTCGTTAAAAACCAATAGGCTTAAGATGCATTTTCAGCTATTTTTTTTTTCAATATGTAATAATTTAGGAAAGCAGGATTATGACAAACCTAAATATAACATTTATTTATTTTTGCTCTCTTTCATTGACAAAGCCTGCTTTGTACAGTACTGCTTTCACTGCTGACACTAAACTCTGTATGTAATGTGCCCTGTAAACTGTACTTCACCCTGTCAGTTCACTGTCACATCTATGTGTCACTCGTCTTAGTTGTTGGCTGTGGTCTCAGGACTGTGTCTGTACACAGACTGGACGTGTCACACATTTCATAATCTCTGTATAATCTTTATAATCTCTTTATCTATTCTTACTCTCAGACCCATCCATAAATAAAGTATTGTGTTTGAATAGTTTCTAATTGTTAAAATATTTTCTAAATAAGTTTCTCTTAGCTTAGGAATTTGTAATTTTGTAAGCAAAAAAAGATAGAATAACATTCAAATTTAAATTTAACAATAGAAAAGATACCAAAAATATAAGGCTAAAGTAATATGACCTACATTTGGCTAAAAGCTAGTCAAGAGACCGATCAGTTAGTAGAAGATATAGCACACAAGTTAAAACAAACCAAATATTAGGCTAAAGTAACCTGATATGAATAAACGTGGTGCATTGCCCGAGAAGTAAAAATAGCTAGACTAAAAGCAACACTTTTTTTATTTTTAGAAAAAGGACACTGAGACTCTAAAATTAGTAAAGCTACTATTTGAAACAAATAGCTTCTAGCTTTCCAAATATTAACCAATTTCTTTATAAAAGCTGACTAAAAATAGCTCAAGAGTACCAGAAAATATAGCAGAAATATTAAGATACCCATGGCTTACAATTACTGCTTTAAAAAAGTAAAACATAATTAAAAATGTGTAACAAATTGGCTTAAGGCAATCTTAAAAATACATACAAAATAGGTTACATATTTCAAAGTGGTTTAAAGTAAAATTCATGTAAAAGGCAGCTAACAGAAGCTGCAAAAAATCATCTTGAGTATTAAGAAGAATGAGGCAACAGTCACTTTTAACTAAATATTTTATATGATAACAGTAAAATCCAGGACCAATAGATCCTGAAGTTATTAATCATTTCAATATTGATAATGTCTGTTTAAAAGCCACAGAGAAAACTAAGTTTATACTTTAAAAAAGTGTTTCCCAACCTTTTGTGAGCCACTGCACATACAGTATATATCATCAGGAAAAAACCCACGGCACATCACCAAACCAAAATCTCACAAGAAGTATATGGAAATATAAATATATTGTAGTTTAAATTGACTAAAAATGTACTCTTCAACACTCTAATTACATCTTTCTTTAGTTTTTCGTAGTCATCTGCTGCCACCTAGCAGAAGAGGATTAAAGTCTGTCTGTCACAGATTGACGAACAAAGAAAATTTATTTGCAATAAATAAACAATAGTTTTTTGACCAAGTAATTGAAATTAGATCATCTTCCACAGCGCACCTAATGATCTCATACGGCACACTAGTGTGCCACGGCACAGTGGTTGGGAATCACTGCTTTAAAAGACTAGAAGAATCAAGAATTCCATTTTTACAGTACATATTCATCATATCTTTTGCTCATAAAAGAGTCATTTGTTCCGGTGGAGGCTATGATGGAATATATTGAGTCTAATATTCTTTATAGACATTAATTTTTCACTACCTGAGGCAGTGATTGTAATTACATTAGAGAGCAAAGAACAGAATCAAGTCTCCCTCAGAAACTTCAAATTATTTAATAAAGTCTATGCAGACCGAGCGGTGGTGTAGCATACAGAAGGAACTTTGATGTTTTGGAATGGGTTCAACATCATCCTCAACATGTTGTTTGTCTGTCACTACTAACACCGACACAGACATATGGCTGAGGTAAGAAAAATAAATAGTTGTTCGTTTCTGTCCGATTGGACTCTCTCTTTACACAATAAAAAAAAGAACTTCACATTGACCTTCTCCTATGAAGGTGCCAAGATGAATCGCTGCCAGGTCTTTGCTGGAGTTAACTTTCAGTGTCCTTTTTGGAGCGTAGCCGTGGCTGAACAATGAGACTATTTTTCACAGTGAAATATGTTTTGTGCGGCAAACACTACATAAGTCCGATACTTAAGGATCCTTTTGTTGTTAGTTATCTTTCCTCTACTCCCTTTAGGGGTCCTCATAGGAGATCATTTTCCTCTATCCCAAACTACTAGTTGCCTTCTCCACTGTTTCGCCATTATTTATTTATTTATTATTTATTATTCTGTAAAACATTAATAAACATTAATAAATGCAAAACATTAATATATTCATTCATTTATTATATATAATGAATATATTAATATATTTGATTTGATATTATGTTGTATAAAGAGCTTATTTTTATTGCTTCTATTTTTTTCTCAAGGTCGTTATGTAAATAATTACAATATGCATGAATTCAAATACCTTTTGTACATATTTTATGAATTTATTTGATCTACTAAACAATTACAAATATACATGCTTTTTGATTGGATTTTACAATTGGATAAAAATAATATTTAGCTAAATTATGTGAAAATGTGTTGGTTAGGCTCCCAACACAGCTGGGGTTTGTTATTTTGGCCTCCTGTTAAATGAATTGCACCAACAAAATGACAAATCTTACAAATTACATTTAAACATGTGTTTCTCGTTCTACCAAGTAAACTCGTCCGAATGTACATAGACAGTTCAGTTACTTCCCATTTGACTAGACCGATGATACCGTCGTCCGATTTTCAACGAATCCTATTGGCTAAAGAAACTCTGGTCTTGACTGTGACCCGAGTCGACGCACAGAGCAAACCGTCCCGCCAACGTTTTAGCTGCGTAGGAACGTACCGCGTTTGCATGCTTCTCTGATTTAAGAGACATTCTTGAACAAAAACTAACTTGGAGTGTTATTAACAACTTTCTACGCACCGGCAACATCAAACGGAGTCACGATTCACTTCTAAAGATGAGACGGGCGCCGTTTTTTGTGTCGGTAAGTTAGCCGCTAGCACCTGGAAGCTAACTCAGCGTCGAATGCTGGCGATATTATGGAAGAGCTATCGTCTATCACATCCAGTCGCACAGTCTGTTTTTGGCACAGACTAAAATGGGAAACATACATTAAAGGACGCCAGGACTCGTTGCATGTCACCAAAATAAGGTGAGTTTTTAGTCATCTGTGTTGTTACAATTGTTTTAAAAAGCGAGAGTCCCAGAGGTTAGCGTGTTTGGTGACGTTAGAGGAGCTGTGCTGCTGTTTATGTAAATTTTAATCAAGGCATGTTACGCACATAGTCAGTCTGACGTTAGTAATATTTAAATGAAATCATTTTTAATTGTTATTTAGAACCGAGAGGGTGTGGCCAAATTGTAAACCCATGCTATATTATTAGCAGCTGTCAAAGCATTATTATTATTAATATTGTTAGTAGGCTTCTTTTAGTAGGCAAACAGTTGCTATAAAACATTGCTTTGTGAATTTAGATAATGTAAAGAATGCTGATTATTTTTTTTATTTTTTTTAGAACAATCTACAATTTAGGTAATTGTGAAACCATTAGGACATGCTAGCACATCAAGTCCAGTGAGGAACTGTGCAGTGATTTATTTATACAGTTATAATAAAGACCTTGTTTATCACACTAAATAATATTCCGATTTTGTTAGAATGTCATGTATTTGTACTGTCCTCAACAAATATTCTCCTGGCCTTTCTTTGCACATTTTAATTCCCATTGTATTAACTGTTTGAAATGAAAAATGCCTAATTTGCACACTACAATAACCCCCCTGAGAATTCAGCATGTAGAAAACCCTCCACAATACATCACCCACTTGTCCCCCATTTTCCAACCTCCCTTAGTTCCTTCTCCATCCTCTCCCCACCTGTCTCTCCATAGCAACTAACTGCTTTCACTAAGCGTCAGCTAAGAGGTTGTTATTCCCCTGCTGTGCTCTAACCACAAACAATAACAGCCTGGATTGTTAGGCGGCCCCCTGACATTGAGTTTAATTGTGACTCTACTAGGAGGTGGTCTTGCCTTCAGATAAGACTTAAAATGGACAAGAGCAGCTTTAGTGTAGTTGCTTTTTGATTGTATGAGACAAAGAACATTTGAACATTTCAGTTGTTGAAAAGGCAGATTGGTAGCAATTTATGTCATGAAAAAAAAACTAACAGTAAAAATTGGTCAGAAACTTCCAGCAGCAGCTGAAGTTCTTCAGACTTCAGCTGCTGCTACTAAAACGTTCCTTATGCCATCCTTAATTCAGTGTTTGAAATGTAAATAGCAAGACTTTTTTGCTGAGGTAATGTCTAATTAAATTTTTTAGTTCTGTCTTTATAAGGAATGAAAACTAAATTCTGTCTAGTTAGTTAAAATCCTGAATTAATGGCACCCTTTGTTTAATGACACAGCTGTGCTTTCTGCTAACACAAATTGACAGCAATACTAAAGTACCACTGCTCTTCTCAGATTCATTTGTCCCTGCTGCACACACAGTTTGTACATTTGTGTCACAAACTATTCGTTGTTCATAACTTTACTTCTGGAATATTAAGGCAAAATGTGTCTAATCTATTAAAGGGTCAAACCAACCAAAAATCGAATCTCCCAGTTATTTGGTCACTGAAAAGACTTGCATGAAAACCTTAAAGTGTCTGTTTATTTCTGTGTCATCCATATAGTTGGTATTGCCTTTCTCCATTCATCTTTCACCTTAATTTCCTTTGTGCACTTGCTAAATGCTATCAAGTTACAGAGTATAATATTGGGAATTTGGACTGATCGAAGTGTGAAGGGTTTTAAACCTAACTTCACCTTTTAGCAAATGTCTACATGTGACTTGTGGCTTCTCATATGGGTATATGGAAAATTAATTGATCATAAAAAGGGGGAAAAGATCTTTTGAATCTGGCTGTGCAGTTTTATTAAAGGTTTATGCAGGTTTATGGGGTTTTGCCTTTGACTGTTCTGGTATACAAGATAAAATACCTCACCTGAATGCTAAAATGTGTTGTTTGTTTTGTTTTGTTTTTTTCAGAGAAAGCTGCAGTTAAACTAGATAGAAATAAAGCCTGATGATAAGACTTTTTGCCTATGTGATTGCTTGACTTTTACTGTCAGTCTTGTTTGCTTTGAAGCACAAAAAATCAGGGTATCAATCCTTTTTTTATTTGTGGAGGGAAGAAAGACCAGAGAAAGGAAGGTTAGATTTTAATAATGTCTAAGAATAATAGTAAGACCCCAGGTTCGAATTATTAAGAATAATAGTAAGACCCCAGGTTCGCACAGCAGTGGAAAAAAAATTGGGTGTAATTCTCCACATTGCTTAAACCTTTCATGCTCTCTGCCAAATACCAGTAATATCTCAAGTTGTCTGAAAACGCGTGTTCTGTACCTAGATGCAAATGTCTTAGATACAGACAAACTCCAGACTATAATGAGATGAAACTGAGGGGGAAAACTGCACATGGTGAATCAGAAATGAGCTGGTCTTAGGAAATGTGCCAATGTTTCTACAGAACATTTGTACACTTGTGTTGATTAAACAGAATTATGCAGGATATGTGAGCCATGCCTGCTGGTGTTATTGATTCTATCATCAGGGAAACATCTGAAGCAGAGCTGGTATTGGAAAGGGGTTTTCCGTGTGCCCTACATGGTATTAAAGCTTTTACAAATAGTCTGATGACATGTAGATCAGAGATTATCTTGATTAGAGGCTGTGGCTGTACATGTGAGGGCCATTAACTGTGTTGATTTGACCTTTTTTAATGAACCAGTGACCTTACCAGTGCCTTCTGGTCATTGTTAGCTAGGATTGGATCCCACTGTTTACAAACCACAAGATGTGAAAGATCAATCAGGGAATGTTTTTACAAGGTTCATGTCTGAAGTCAGACTAACTTGCTACTTGAATGAGTTTTATGTGCTACCTTTTGCTATCTTTGCTTGGCTTTTGTTAGGACCCAAGTTAGCATCCTGAATGTCTGTCTAGTAACTTAACTGGACCAATCATCAAGAAATGAGCAGCGGACATTTAATTTGGTTCCTGTGAAAACAGTAATGAACCACCGTTAGACACCAGCTCATATTTTTAGCTCTGAAAACCAAAAACCTTGTCGTCGGGTGATTAAATTAAATTAAAGCAAACAAATGTTCCCTGTGTACGTGTGTGAAAAATTGAATCACTCCTGACAGTCACATCTGCTGTAATTAATCCCTGCTGTGAAATGATATCAGTGTGTTTGGCTTTCTCAAATGTCATTGTCAGTCAGCCTAGACGCTTTGAAGGCACTGTCTGAACCTCCCATGAATCTCCACTGAATTGATGATACTGCCTTGTATCCACTGGTTGTATTTGGTGTTGTTTGGTGACATTCATTTATTCATTTTGTGCATATAGTTTTTTCCTTTATCATCAGTTCTGATCCAAATTCAGGGCTTTGGCTTTGTGTAATTTTCACATTTTGTCTTCCTCAGAAATGACATCCAGACTGATTACTGTAAAAATATGTGTTCTCTTGGAATGTTTGGTGTTGTAATAATGGAATGTGTGTGTATAAACACATGCGTAGGAGAAGCCGTTTGGGAGTTGTGCTGGAAAGACACTGTTGTATCTTTCAGACTTGAGTCGAGCTTGACAACAATTGCTTCTGAGGCTGTTCCCTCTTTTCCTCCTTCTCCGTCTCCTCTCTTTGAGATGATCTGCTCAGTCTGTTTCTAAGCGTAGCAGCAGAGTAAGTGGAGAAGCAGACTGAAATAAACCAGTCTCTCTCTTTCTGTTTCTCTTTCTCTCCATAAAGCCATGCATCAAGCCCTGGACACACTCAGTGACAGCACCAGCTCCACCACGGCCAATGACCTGGACCTCATCTTCCTCAAAGGCATCATGGAGAGTCCAGTGGTGAGGAAAAAAATGTTAATGGTTATGAAACACAAGATGAAATATGTAGCCGATTAGACGCTTAGTTAAGTGAATGAAAGGAAATTAATCTTTAATGTCTTTATATCATAAAAAAGGACCGGCGCTACACAGACTAGAGTGTAGTGGTTTGAGGCTCCATTAAAGCTGCAGTCATTTAATGCATGAAAATGTACACAATTAAACTCACTCTCAATTACAGATGCTTATTGGAATGCTGTAAAATTAAAATTTGCTTCATTGTGACATGTGACTCACAACAACTCATAATATTTTTTCCATCGTCAGTAATAAATTCATTCACAAATTAAAATTTAAAGGACAAGGATAACAGGTTAGTGCTCACTCAGTCTCTCTCATAAGTCATTGTCAGTCAGCCTAGACTCTTTGAAGGCGCTGCCTGAACCTTCCAAATGTCTAAGTGTATCTAAGTGTAATGTCAAAAGCAAATGTATCACTTCACCTCATGTAAAGGCTCTTTAAAAAACCAATCCCATCAAGTTTATTCTGTTTACATCCAAGGCAGTGACGTGTCTGTTACATGTTACAGCTTTTTGATAAATGAAAGAGCTTAGTAGTGGCAGAGTCTTTTCAAAATTCCATCCCACTTCATCTCTCGTTCTTTTTCTACTGTCACTCTTCCTACTTCACTTTTTGCCAAGAGTGGTTTCACATGTCTGGTAAAATGTAGAGTGAGTTATTTCAAAACAGGCAGTAGAAAGATAAAGCAGCACATTGCAGCAGAAGTGTAGATGCAGCTGGTGTTCAAGATGTCATCAATTTTCCTTTTATATGCTGAAAGCACTTGTTGGTGTCAGTAATCATATAATCTTAGAGCTGTGTGAATCCTATGCAGCGACATTTTTGCTTTGCTATGTGTTGTGAACAAATGTTTGCAGTTCCTTTTGGAGCAGATCTGATTATGAGGGTGGAGACAGGATGTCCTTCCACTTCCTTTAAGATTAAGATATGATGTACTTAAACATTGTCTTTTATTTCTTAAGGTCACTTAGAAATCTATTTGTACTTGTAATTGTAAATAGTAGCTCCTTTAATCTTATAGCACAGATATTTCAGACAATCCCTAGGAATAGTTTCCAAATCTCTTTAACAACACTGTTCTCTAAATATTGGACTTGTTTCTTGACCAGGTGGTCATAAAATCTTTTGATAACACCTACGTCCAGGCTCCGTGGTGGTCAGTTATAAATATTTACATTATTGCTGTAGAGAGCCACAATGCAACGACAGTAGGTGTATAATTATCTACAGTCCTAGAACAAAGCTTCTTTCTGTTAACAGTATTATTGCAATCAACTCAATATATAACTCAGGGTAAGGACTATTGTGTTTAATGCATGAGGAAATATGCACGTATTTTGGGAGTAGTACTATATACTTGGAGGGATTTGCAAATATGCATTTGAGTTATTTGTACGTGCATTGCATCATTTTCAGAATTTCCTGTTTCTCAGCAGGAGTTTGGAGAAGTTCTTCAAATAAACACTGCAGCAGTCTGTGTAGTTGAGAGTCCCACCAGACAAATCCTCTGTGGATTTGCAGAAATCTTTTGAATCTTTGGCTGTTGTTGAAAATCTGTTGACATGCAGATACAAATTGAAATTCTGTAAATAATTTCATTTGCATGTAAAAGTAAAGAGGAAAAATAGTCTATCCTTATTGTATTATATAAATGTTAACTATTCCTCTAAAACAGAACACTAGGGATATTGTCTTTTTCTTACTTGTTGGAGATGTAGCTTTATGAAAGATAACTTATTTTGAAGGTATGGCATTCATTTATCTGTATTTTGAATCTTTATACTTATATTAATGAGCATATGTTTTCTCTGTAGTGGTTTAATATTTCTTACTGTTGTGACCTTCATTGTTAAAACCAGTCAAATTAAAGAGAGCTGCTAATGGATGAAAACATTTAAAGTGCTAGAGTTGGACTAAAGTTACCTTATTTAAAACTTAATCACTGGGATCCTGGGCCTACATTGGGACTCGGACACAAAAACCTCCCCCACAAGACAGGCCTCGGTTTAGGTGCACTAAACTAGGTGCGCAAACACATTTGTGAAATATCTTGTTATAAACCCCAAAGTTTCCCAGAGACTGTGGAATTCAGCCATCAAATGATTTGTTAATCCTTGCTTTATGACCCATAATCCCAGGCTCATGAGCGATTCGAGGAGCCCAAATTGGAGGCTGTGAGGGAGAACAACGTGGAGCTTGTCCAGGATATTCTCCAAGAACTGATCCCAATCACACAAAGAAGCCAGGTGGCTGATGAGCTGGTCCGAATCCTGAAGGAACCCCATTTCCAGGTGTGGAGATCAAGGGATTAACTGTATCTTTAATCAAACATCTGCTCAGAACTGAACCTGTAATTACTCGTGTTATGTTATGTTTAATGAAGCATGTTGTGCTAACATAGTTTTAATTGATTTGGAATTTTAGTGATTTAATTGGCATGGTTCTTTTCCTAAGTGACAATTTCCAAACCTTTTACCATTTTCTTTTTCTGCTCAGTCCCTCCTGGAGACCCATGACTCTGTGGCATCCAAAAACTATGAGACCCCTCCTCCTAGCCCCTGTTCCTTTATGGATGCAGCTCTGAACAACCAGCCTGTTCCTCCAGACGCAGTGAGGATGGTGGGGATTCGTAAGGTGTCTGGAGAACATCTTGTAAGTCTTCTTCTTTTAGCCATTAAAAAAGATAAATTCTTATAAACCTTTTGTTTTGACTAATAGATCTAACTTTTAGTCACTGTGGATTTACATTAAACTATAAGCTTTCTTTTTTTTAATAGATATTACTATTCTTTTTTTAATTTTTACTGTATTTCTGCTGTCTTTGATCATTTCTGGCTCACAAACCACTCTGTTTATAGTATAGGTTTGATCTGTCTGGCATATGGAAAGTAAACAGATAATTTACTAGCAAGTTGTTTTAACGGTGTCCATAAGTGGAGATTCTGGATCACAGGAGGAGTAGTTGGCCCTGATTTGATTTTGTTTGTCCTTTTGCCTTTAGGGAGTAACATTTCGAGTAGAGAGCGGTGAACTCGTGATTGCCAGGATTCTCCATGGAGGCATGATCGACCAGCAAGGTCTCCTCCACGTGGGCGACATCATCAAGGAAGTCAACGGCAAAGAAGTGGGCAACGACCCCAAAGTGCTCCAGGAGATGCTGAAGGAGGCGAGTGGCAGTGTGGTGCTGAAGATACTGCCCAGCTACCAGGAGCCACACACACCCAGACAGGTGAGCCTGTGATAAACACGTGTAAAATTATTTAATTCTGCGCAGTGACCATCAGCATTTACAAAGTGAGAAGTTTCATCAATATTTAAGTTAATCCTCATGATAACACTAGCTACTGCTAAGCTCTTTAGAAAAAAACCGAAAGCTAATGGTAAACAGCCAATAAAAAAACTCCTTCACAACCTTCACCCTGTTAGTCTGTAACCTTGTGGGCTCTGTCAAGACTTGTATGTTTAATTTTTTAACTGGACTTTGTGCTTGACATTAGCTGTTTGGCAAGGGTAATGCCTTGAAAATAAAAAAACACACCAAAGAATAGGAAAGGGTGCTGCACTTTCATTAAGAACATGTCGTTTGACTAAATGTTTGCAGGATCTGTGTATCTACCTGCTAAAAACTACCATGATTGTAACTAATTAACCTATTTTTTGTTGTTGTTGCCACTTACAGATGTAAAAAAATCTGTGACCTAGATTATAGCAAGAGCGGCACACACAGGAGGTGAGGAGTTAGTAGGAGACTCGATGACTGATTGTCCTGAAGAGACAAGGGAAGACAAGCTCTAAGAAGCTGAGCTAAATTAATCACTCCCACCAGAATGAAATCAACTAGAACACAATTAAGTAGAAATTTCATACAGAATGTTTTTGTGGCCCAGATCTGAGCATGGATTGCACACATGTTTTAAACATAAATTGTTTTGTGCTGGACCACAAATCATTTGTCCAACCCTAAAATGTCTGATGGCCTTACACTGCTGAAATGTAGTGTGGTTACTGGCAGCCCTCAGGGGATGTGTCCCACTGACTCAGATGATCTCCTGACTTTTCCTTCAGCACCAGAGAGATTGACATTTGTGGATCTGATTTAAGAGTCAACAATGGCAGGATGATAAAAATTCTACCCTTGACGTTGACTGCAGCACAAAGCAGCAGTGTCCTTAACCATGTCCTGAAAGAGCCTTGGGCTCTTCTTTGTTGTTGTCTGACTTTTATATTGGTAAAAGTGAATTAGCTTAACCTCTAGGAGGACATAGAGTAGTAGTCCGTAGAATTACTTATTGAAAACTGGAGCTAGGATCACTCTATTTTAGAAGAAAATAGAAAAATGCTGTAGAATATTTGTATTTTATTTAATTTTTGTTTGCTCTAAGGAGACATGAATAAGAGCTGAGTAAACATTTTGTAGTATAAGTAGGTCAATAACGAAACAATGCAGTAAAACATATTTAATTCCAGTAGCATTAAGCAATTCGGCTTAAGGTTCCTGAAACTTCGGTCCGTGTAATCCAGCTGTCGGTGTGTTTCACGACTGTAGCTCAGCCAACGCCTGGTGACTAAACACAGTCTACAGCTGCCTCTGGTCATTTTGCGTGTGTATGTGTGTTTGTCCAATGATATTTACGCTGGCACATGGAACAGTAAGGGCTGACACTTTTTTATGTTTAGTACGAGAAAAGGCTTCAAGTGCTGGGGGATGGGATAGTTGCCATGGCTACATATTGGTTTTCTCTCTCTCACTCTCTCTCTCTCCCCCTCCCTCTCTCTCTCTCTCTCTCTCTCCCCCTCTCTCTCTCTCTCTCTCTCTCCCCCTCTCTCTCTCTCTCTCTCTCTCCCCCTCTCTCTCTCTCTCTCTCTCTCCCCCTCTCTCTCTCTCTCTCTCTCTCTCTCTCTCCCCCTCTCTCTCTCTCTCTCTCTCTTTCTCTCTCCCCTCTATCCTCCCTCCCTCCTAGTCTCTGCGTCCTCCTGTCAGTGCAGGTAGGGATTCAGACTTTATGCTTTATGAGCTGAATCCTCTTGCCTTGAGCCCTGAGACGCTGTGAAAGTTAGCTGACAGGTGGAGTGTTTTTTTAGTGACCAAGGCTACTGCAAAGTGATTGGCCGTTCACTTTCTCAGTCCACCTATCACTCATCATAAACACTTTGCAGCAGTTAGCAGTAGAGATGCATCACTCAACATTCTACAAAGATTAATATGTGTTTATAAATTCCTGACATCATAATGTTGATTATTTGGTCCTTTTAGGCCTTTGTACGGTGTCACTTTGACTATGACCCCACTCATGACAACCTGATTCCCTGTAAAGAGGCAGGGCTGAGCTTCAACAGTGGAGACATTCTGCAGATTTTTAACCAAGAGGACCTCAACTGGTGGCAGGTCAGTAAAACCAGATTTAATGATGTAAAAATAGCTTGTGATGCATTAGACCAGTTGTCTGCTGCTCAAAATGTGGACTCTGAGCTCCTTCACCAAAATTCACCAAAAAAATGGATGGATAGCGATGCTCCCTGCATGTTTACAAATTTGACTATTTACAAAAATCCAGTCTGAACTCATTTAACTCTTTAACTTTTTATTTTGCTTGTCAACAGCAAAACATAATAATGTCACTGTGGTGACAATAATAAATGCCATAAGTAATCCAAAATGTTCTAATACCTACAAAGTTTCACTTCACTAAAGGCTGTTGCCTTTTGTTGGCCTGTTGATCTAAAACTGGACATATCTGCTTCACCAGCTTCAGTTTTTCGTGTGTGTAAACAACCTACACCAAATCCCCTGGAATAAATCGTCTGCTCCTCCTTGCAGGCCTGCCACATAGAAGGAGGCAGTGCTGGTTTAATTCCCAGCCAGCTCCTGGAGGAGAAGAGGAAAGCGTTTGTGAAGAGAGATCTGGAGTTGGCTACCACAGGTACAGTACTCTCAGCAGCAGAGTGGAGAAACCACTTCTCATTACCCCGGATCCAACTCAGACTCCAACTCCTTGCTGCAGAGACATAGGCAACAACAAAGACAACATCTGCTGCTTCTTCACATCCTGCAAGGGTTTCATCTGGCCCCTCCTCCTCATTCATTCACCTCTCTGGTCTGTTACTCTCTTAGAGAGCTGGTAATGAACATCAGCATGAGTCAGGCAGCTTGATCCAATCTGCTTCCTATTAAGTTGCCTGCAGCCTCTGACGTACACAAACAGGCCACCCTGCAAAAGGAAGGTTTGGGCAGGAGGGGTGAGAAGAGCAGCGTTAATACAGGCCTGAACAATGAGATGTGGAGTGAACGCAAAACAACTGTACTTTTTAGATTTATAGGCTTTTAACCAGCAACAACAGAACAGGTGGTGAGTCATAGGCAGCTACTTGTCCTTCTCTTAAGGATGGCAGTGACCACTGTGTACTACCCTCTGAGGTGGAAAGTGCTAGCTTTTTTTTAAGGAAACACAGCTCAGGTTTTTACTTAAGATTTTAGGAAACAGAACTCAAAATGATTTAAACAACCTCCTTTACAACAGACATTTATGATCCAAAACCAAAAAAATCTCTGATAATGATGAGTGAGGAAGTTTATCACTGTCATGGGTGTGCTTGGTCATGGCTGGCTGGTTACCCACTGCCACCTAGTGGCACAGAACTTCTTCATGCCACCCCAAAGAGTTTCAAATGCTGACCCCGACTTCAAGAAAACACTTTTCAGTTTTTAGTCTGCACATATCACAAAGCGCATTCATTAATCATACGTTACAAAGAAAAGGCGTAAAAAGCCATTTGTGTCTGTATTATATGGTGTTAACTTTGCTTGTGTTAAAGTTGTGAAAATGGGTCTGAACATATTTTATTAAGATGTCTTGTTGAACACATGTTTTTTTTCTCTTTGTCTCAGGTCCTCTTTGTGCCGGTGTAGGTGGTAAGAAGAAAAAAAAGATGATGTATTTGACCACCAAGAATGCAGGTATAAATATTTACAGGGATTAAATTCTTCTGGGTTTTGCTTGGTTTATGCCTGTTTCTTAAAAAACCTTAAAAAATGTGTTACTCTGAGCTGAAACAATATGTATATATTATAATATTTATTAAACTATAACTAGACTAAGACATACATTTTTAAGATGGCTAAATATGAATAAAGTAAATGACTAAATAAAATGTTCCTGTCAAAATTAACACTGGTTCACAGTGCTGTCAGTCAGTACTGGCAGGAGGAGAAAATCTTTTTGCATTTTGTCCAACATAAACACAGGTTTCTTAGTCTGCTTATTAAAAATGACTATATTTCATAATTGTAAGCTATTAAAACATTTTCAACGATATTTTGGTAGAATTTGACAGGCACGAGTTGAGGATTTATGAAGAGGTTGCCAAGGTTCCACCCTTTAGAAGGAAGACTCTGGTTTTGATTGGGGCACAGGGAGTTGGCCGTCGCAGCCTGAAGAACAAGCTGCTGGTGTCGGACAGTCAGCGTTACGGCACCACCATCCCCTGTGAGTGCAGCTGTTTATCCTGAAACTGAACCACATGCACGACTTGAACCAAGGTGCTGGCTTCATGGCAGATGTTTGTTTTTATGACTAACAGCCATAAAAGCTGAAAATCTGATAAAGGGCTAAACATAAAAATGTTTTCAAATCTGTCAGAAATATATTGAGTTCAGCTTCTCAAGATTTTGTTAAATCTGTTTAATATTTAGTCAAGTTAGCCAAAAATACTTACGTGTTAACAGCAGATCTGCAACAGGCTGCCACTTGTAGGCGCCAAGTATGTGGTTCCTCTGAATGCAACCAATGACTAAATAACTTGATGTTAGTTTGTTTTGTACTGTGTTTAAAATAAATAATTACTGTCATTTCTGTCTATATTCTTCAGTCACCTCCAGAAAACCAAAGGTAGATGAAAGAGATGGACAGATGTATTCCTTTATGACTCGCAGTGAAATGGAGTGTGACATTAAAAGTGGTCGTTTCCTGGAGCACGGAGAGTACGACGGGAACTTTTATGGAACCAAGATCAGCTCCATTCATGAGGTGATAGAGACAGGAAAGATCTGTATCTTGGACGTCAACCCGCAGGTACAGGAAGTTCACGCATGCACATGATGTATCACTATATCTCTTAGATTTAGGTAAACGGCTGCATGATATCAATGTGATATTTTTAGCTAAAAAATGATTTGATGGTATACTAGTTTTCAGTGTTACTTAATTATATTTTACAAAAAGGCTATCAAAGTTGTGAGGACTTCAGAGTTCCTGCCCTACGTCGTATTCATAGAAGCTCCAGACTTCGAGGTTCTCAAAGCCATGAATCGTTCAGCCATCGAGTCAGGAGTGATCACCAAACAGCTAACGGTGAGTTAACTTAGACTAGACTACGTTTAAGTCATTGTTTTTTTTTTCTTCACATTAGAAATATTCGCTATAACATTTCAATGCAATAGGCTAGGCCTCAACGTTAAATTCCTTGGAATGGAGAGTGGAAATTGAAACATTCACAGTAGCATTTTCTATGAAACCAACAAAATATTTCACTTTTTCTGCAGAAACAGTGATATATAGATGAAATATGCAAAGCTTGACAAAATTTAGCTGAAAAGCAATGAAATGCCAAAAATTCACCTGAGAAAAGGTGTCTGAACAATGGCGTTTTGCATTTCCAAATGTCTCATTTTACATTTTTACCAAGTTTCTGATTTCTGAACAGCACAATGCTAACTAAGCTTAACATTAAGAATTGAGAGTGTACCTAGCATGACAAACAAGTGTTGGCTTTAAAATACACCCAGCAACATTTAGCAACTTCTAGCTTTATGTTTTTTCTTTTAAGCATTGGGGAAAACCTATGAATTTATTTGTGCTATTTTTGGATATTTGTTTATAATATTTATGTATGCAGTTTTTATTAACCATATGTATATGCATATGACTTTTTAAGGTCTTATTTGTAGCCAACTAAAAAAAGTTTTAAGAAAAAGAACTAATACTTAGCTTTGTATGCTGGTTTATTATTTTTTCCCCTCTTTGTATACTCCAAACTGTACGGCTGCCTCTAGGACTCTGAGCTCAAGAGAACAGTGGATGAAAGCGAGCGCATTAAGAGAGCCTATGGACATTACTTTGACCTCTGCATCATCAACGACAGCCTGGAGGCGGCATTCAGGAGTCTACGTCTGTCGCTGGATAAACTGTCGACAGAGCAGCAGTGGGTGCCTGTCAGTTGGGTCTTCTAAAAATGTACTGAGAGCTCACCAGAAGGGTTGCCGGAGCTGCAGGTCAGAAGTTTCAGGACAATGTTATTTTCATTTGCAGTGCTAGGTGCCCCCTCAGCATCGGTCGTTGGTAGGGTTGTGCTTCTCCGTACAAATGACCAGCCTCATGTAGAGCATTTTTGTATAAATGTTAGTTTTCCTCGGTTGGGCCTAATGTTTGAGTTGTATTTAATTTGTCAAAAAAAAAAGATCAATATTTATTATAAGGAGGATTTAGATTTGCGGTATAGTGCAATAGTGCGAGTGAGTCAGTGTGTGTTTGTACAGTACATGACCATTGATGTCGTTATAGACTTAGACCAGGTGTGGGCAAACTTTTTGACTCGCGGGCCTCAATGGATCCTAAAATGTGATGGGGGGGGGGGGGGGGGGGGGACCGCGTTCACGTAAACCAGTACTTCTCAAATAGTGGGGCGTGTTGAGGTGCTACGGAAGGTGTGAGGGCCTTCCAATGGAATATGGCGCGCTGGACATAAGTGTACCACTGCTGTAATGCTTAAATGATAACTAGCCTCCAGTCACTAGGTGGCAGCAACACATACACTGGTTTGCACAGGTAAAAATATACGTTATCAGGTTCTCAATAGTATTTTAATTTGTGGGGGTGTGGGTCAGAGGGTGGGAGTGGGAGGGGGTGTGAAAACAGATAGAAAAGTGACAGAACATAATTGAGAACCACTGATAAAGAGAGGGAGGTTACATGTAGAAAGATGAATTACATGTAAAAGTCATACATAAACTCTAAAATGCAATGATCCTGTTTTCGCCATCTATTGGTGACATG